CGGGTCTTAGTTGTGGCACGTGGGATCTTTTTATTTGTGGCATGCGGGATCTAGTTCCCTGATCAGGGATCGGAACCCCAGCCCCCTGCATTGGGATCACAGAGTCTTAACCACTGGACCACCAGGGAAGTCCCTGTCTTCTTACTGAGTTCTTGCATCCACTTCTCCATTTCCTCCTTTTTTGTCAGGCTCTCAGAGAACACTTTGGCTGTGGTTAATATGCCCGCGTCTAGCACCACTCCCCTTTCTAATTTACTCACTTCTGGGAAGGAGATCCATGTGACCAAATCAGTATTTGAAATGAGTAAATAGACACAGAATGAGATTCTGAAGGCCCAGGTATGAGCAAAGTGTATGAACTTTGAATTGCCAACTTTGCAACATCTATTTTGGTGGCTCAGAAGCTTTTCTCTTCGTTTCTTCTTATTGACTAATTTACCAACGGGTACTACTTTACACACACAGCCCAGTGGATGCTTGCGAGTAATAAATGATTACAACTGTTACCAAAGCATAAATATCTCTTATTGTCTAATATTATGGCTAAGGCAAATTAATTGCAAATTGTAAAGGACTTAAAAACCAAGGGTCTGTATCCTCTCTCTTTCATCTCTCTTCTTCAATTTTCCATTTGAAATCAAGTGAGCTCCTCACAGTGCTAAGGTATAATGGAATAGGGTGAGGTTGTCAACAGTTGGCCAGGAAGCGTAACTAAAAAGGAATTTTTTTACAGGCATAAAAGGAAAGCCATAAATTACAGCATTGCACAGAAAAAAAGATTAAGCACCTACTGTATACTACAACTCAGAATCTTTTATTTACATTAACCCTAGGGGTTCAGGAGCACCCCGATTTATAGTTGGAAAAACAGGCTTATGAAGTTAAGTAGCTTGCCAGAAGCCACGCAGCTGGTGAGTGACCCAGCTAGTAGACACACAGCATTCCTTCTACCCCTGACATTTGTGCCCTTTAGAAAATACTAAACAAACATTCCTAGCACTGTCTTCAAGATCTGGTACACCAAAAGTTCCAATGGATTAGCTTTAAGAACACTTCTCCCCATCCTACAACCCCTCTACCATGGATTCAAAGAGGGAAGCCATGGTGAGTTAGTGCCATCTGCTGACCATCTCCCTGAACATCAGGATGAAGGACATTCCTCTAGCTGAGGACACAGTTGGGGATGGGGAACCTTGTGCCATCTTAGGTCACCACCCCCAACTCAAGGAAAGACCCAGGAGGACGATGAGCATCTTCTTATAGAATCCTTGGTCTCCCTACAGTACCAAGGCTGGGCAGTGATTTACTGAGGGAGAAAGTGGTGGTAATTAGAGGAAGTCTAAAATAGAGGCCTTGAGAAATAAAGGCACAGGCTTCTACCACCACAGAAAACATACCTTATTCATTTCGGCAAATAAAACTTAGCATTTCCTGAATCTAGTATTCTAGCAATAAAAATGGATTCCTGAGCCCCACTCCAGACTATTTTATCAAAACCTTCCCTGGTGGTGCAGTGGTTAAGAATCCGCCTGCCAATGCAGGAGACGTGTTCGAGCCCTGGTCCGGGAAGATACCACATGCCACTGAGCAACTAAGCCCATGTGCCACAACTACTGAGCCTGTGCTCTAGAGCCCGGGAGCCACAGCTACTGAGCCCGCGTGCTGCAACTACTGAAGCCCGCGTGCCTAGAGCCCGTGCTCCGCAATGAGAGAAGCCGCCGCAATGAGGAGCCCGCGCACTGCAAGGAAGAGTAGCCCCTGCTTGTTGCAACTAGAGAAAGCCCGTGTGCAGCAACGAAGACCGAACGTACCAAGTACCAAATGGAAGTCTTGGTATATCCCCATGGTATAAGTTCCCCAATTTGAATAACACTGTAAGATTTATACCATCAAAGAGCCTAGCACAAAGTTAGGGTCCCAATACAGGCTTGTTGGGTGCTGATCCTAATAATCCAGGTACATTCTGACCCACAGAGCATAGTTTGGGGGTGATGCATTGAAACTACCAAATTCATGTTGCCTGTGTGATGAAACCATTACCAGTCTGATGCCAAAGCCACATGACCTTTGCTCACATTTGAGAAAAAGTTAAACTGAGTTTTGTACACCTCCCTTTGTTTTGTACTTTCTAGGACAAAGTCTACACTCTGCTAATCAGGCATCTCCTGAGAATTCCTTCTGGGGCACTCAATCAGTTGGATCAACCATTGTATAAATTTGTAGAATTTGTGTCTATTAACACTTCTTTGTCAGTTATAATTTGCTCTGATTTTATGTCAGATTTTCTGAAGATACCATCTCAGCTTTCTGCCAAGCTAATGTAGTTGGAAGATAAGTACTTAATCAAGTATTTACTGAATTTCTACTGTGTATTCAGCCCACGTTTATAATGAAATACCTGCCTTCAAAGACTCATAGTACAGTTGGGAATACAGGCTAAATACAAAAAACATCGGCCCATAAATAAAATTGAATACTCAGTTGTCCTTGGAATGAAAGAATATATTATGAAACAATATAAAGATATTCCTATGTCATCATACCAGTGGCATATATTTTTGTTTTACCTACTGTCTTATCTTTCCCCACTAGAATAGAAGCTCCATGAGAGAAACTTTTTTGTTTTGTTCAATGCAATTTCCTCAGTGCCTGGCATGTAATTGGTACTCAATAAATATTTGTTGACTGAATGAGTAAGTCAAGTTTTTAGAATGGACAGAGAAAAGGAAGGCTTCACGGGGTGCCCCCAGATGAGCCTTGGCTTAACAATGCTTTTATTCAGCTTGCTATATAGCAATCTATAGATTTTAGCAACAAACTTCTTAATTTCTATAATAAGAAGAAAATGTGTATATAATTGAAATAGAAGGTGGGGTGGAATGAAACAAATTTAAATTGGGTGTTAAGTGTCCATGTGACCTGCTTAGCTTACTGCTACAAGAAGTTTGTCCTAGAATCAGTGGTTTTCAAACATTGTTTTAAAGCAGAACAACTATATTTTCTCTTTTAAAAAAAATTTATGTGTGTTTGTTTATTTATTTATTTAGTCTGCGCCGGGTCTTAGTTGCAGCACGCTGGATCTTCGTTGTGGCATGCAGGATCTTTTAGTTGTGGCATGCGGGCTTGGACTTCTTAGCTGTGGCATGTGGACTCTTAGCTGTGGCATGCATGCGGGATCTAGTTCCTGGATCAGGGATTGAACCCAGGCCCCCTGCATTGGGAGAGTGGAGTCTTAACCACTGGACTGCCAGGGAAGTCCCATGACTATTTTTTCAAACGAAACCGCAATAAATGAAACAGATAAAACCAGAGCTGCTCTGATTGACTTTGGAGGTGGCTTGGAGGAGGATTTGGGGAGGTTCACTCTCTTAGTCCCCTCACCCCCACCAAAGAGCTTTGGCTTCTGAGGGATTCTAGGAACACAGTTTGAAAATACTGGATTGTAGGAATTTTAGAGTCTCTATTCTCTCAAAATTCTATTCATGAAGGCAGCTGAGTTAAGACCTGGGCTCCCTTCTGGTCTCTGTCACTTTAAGCTGAAGGAGTACCAGGAGTCAGCACCCAGAGAGACAAAAAACCTGTGTGGTCTGGGCCAAGGCCAATGCCCCTTCTCACGGCCAGGCCCGGGAACTAGAAGCCACATTTCTCTGATCCCAGACTGAAGAGGGCTAAATAACTGACTCTGGCTTGTGTGTCGTCGTCCCCCAACCCCCTCCGTCCCCACCCCCTCCTCCACCAGCTCAGAACTGAAGGTATCCAAGCTCACTTGGCAATTTCTCTGGGCTTTGGAGTTTATGAGAATCTTATATACAAAGTAAATACTCTGTCTGGTGCCAACCCAGATTGAAAAGAGTATGATTTATTTGACACCATCCTGTACTTTGTCAGCTAGCTGGTTGATCCACTTTATTTATTTCAAATTTATTTATCTTTGGCTGTGTTGGGTCTTCGTTGTGGGCTTTCTCTAGTTGTGGCAAGCAGGGGCTACTCTTCGCTGCCATGCGCGGGCTTCTCATTGCGGTGGCTTCTCTTGTTGCGGAGCATGGGTCTCTAGGCTTCAGTAGTTGTGGCTCGCAGGCTCTAGAGTGCAGGCTCAGTAGTTGTGGTGCACGGGCTTAGTTGCTCTGCAGCATGTGGGATCTTCCCCGCCCAGGGCTTGAACCCGTGTCCCCTGCATTGTCAGGTGGATTCTTAACCACTGCGCCACCAGGAAAGCCCTGATCTGCTTTAGATATCCAGAGAGGAACCAGCCAAACAGAGGTCTAAGAGTAACAGAAGAGAGATTCTTGAAGTAACTATTTACCAGGGTGTGCTCAGGTTTAAGTGAACGGACAAAGGATTGTAAAGCACCCAGGGGCTAGCAACGACCTGAAGAGTCATCACCACTAGGCTTGAAAAAACAAGGAAAGAGAGCTGTCATCCAACAGCTGTTGCTTGAGGAACTTAGTAAAAAATACCGCCACTTCCATGTCGCAAGTCGGGAAACCAAAGATAAGGAAAAGATAAGGAACACAGGATGGGGAACCCCCGAGGGGAGGAACTTATCGATTCTTATAGAATCGGCGGCTTTCAAGACTCCTCCTGCGACCGGATAAGCCACGGGTCTCACTTTGACCTTCCCAGACACCAGTAGAAAATGACCAGTTTACTGTTACGAGCTGGAACTACAACTCCCGGCATGCATCTCTCCGCTACAATCGCAAACTTTTCAACGCTAGGATAAAGGGACTTTCCGGAAGAATTGTGGGTCGGGACTTGTAGTTCTTCATTTGGTGGGGGCGGGAGTAAATCGGCCTTCTGCCGTAGCGTGTTCATTGGCGCCCAGGTCACCGCCCCCTTCCCCCCGCCTACGTTGGTGTCTCACGCACGCGCGGCTCGTGCCCACGCCCCCTCCCTAGGCATAGGACGCAGGCGCGCGCAAGCCCCCCTGGGCCCGGTAGGCGGGGAGGGTGCGGGGGGAGGAGAACGTGGAGAGGGGGGCATGTTAGGTGTCTATTCAGTAGACTGCAGTGGGGCACGAAGAGTGCGAAGGCACTGCTGCCAGGCGGGTGATATCTGCAGTGGACCTAGAATCGACAGGAGAGTTCGGAGCCAAGCCAGCGAACCCCGCGAGTAGTAGTCGGCTGCTGAGACCCGGAGGGCGGCAGGGGGCGAAGCCCCAGCCTAGGCCCCGCGGAGATGTCGGGCTGCGGCGCTTGTACTTGCGGCGCCACAGCTGCGCGGCTCATCAGCTCCTCGTTCGCCTCCGCGCCAAGAGGTAACGAAGTAGTCCCGCACCTGAGCTCTTGACCCAGCAGCGGCCCGGCCGGCGGCGGCGGCGGCGGCGGCGGGGACCCCGGGGAGGGCGAGAGGCCTCCCCCACCCCGAGGGTGTGAGGAGGTGCTCGGCGCTTCGCCTGGCAACCCCCCCTTTCTCCGTGGCATGGGTCTCTGCCAACCTCTGGAGCAGCTGGTTCTCACATTTGAAGTGAAACCCTCTGGCTCCCCCACCCTCACGCTTTCAGGCCCTCTGACTTTGGGGCCAGAATGTGGTCGCTTCGCAGAAACCCTGAAAGAGGCACGCAGTGCTCCGTTGGTTAAAAAGTGTCCCGAAACCCCACTCCGCAGGTGACTGCCGCCTCCCCTGGCTGCGGCTTCTCTTCCGGAGCCCGGCCGGGTTCCCCTCGGGCCTGTCGCGGGCCGCGGGAAGGGCCCGGATGAGGAGCCGCCACTGTTGGGGTCCACCCGGGGCCGCGGGGCGCCGGAGCGGGCCGTCCCGGGCGCAGGCCGCGCGGGGGCCGCGGTGTCACAGTCGTTGTGCGGCCGCTCACACCGGGACGTAAAGGTGACGCGCACTACTTTTCGGGGGCCGCAGCAAAGCGCCCGAGGAGATGGAAATTCCCGCAGAAATTGTTTCTGAAGGGCTTAGGTGTCTCAGGGAGTCAGTCGTTTGCCGGATTTCCTAACCTGACAGTCCCAAGTAGTTTTTTAAGGGTGGCGCCTGTTTACCTTTCCTTTCTGTTTATCAGGAGCTGTGAAAGAGTGGCAACCCCAGCCAAGAGATTCCGGAAAAGAAACCATTTTTCTCTTCCCTAAATCTATAAATAGCAGACAAAGAGGCTAGATCCTGTTATAATCACTAACTTCTAGACAGATTCGTTTTGTTTTGGATTATCAGTTTATGATCTTTGGATTAGGAAAAAAACAGCCCCCTTTTCCGAATTTTTAGCTTCATTGTAAAATTCTTACAGTTTACTAAATGTTTATTTTCCAACAGTTTATTTCACAGAGGGATTCAATGAGGTTGTGTGGGCAGAAGCATTTTGTAAAATGGTACATAAATGTAAAGGAGTGAATTTAGTCCCAGGACACTATTAGTCCTGAACAAGTAGACATCCCTATTCCAAGAATATGAGTTGCAGACACTCGAAAGTGACAGATATTTAAATTCATTTATTTGACAAATTTGTTGAGGGCCTGATATGTGTCAGGCCCTGCTTTGGTGCTGGAGATGGAGGGGTGAATAAGTCCTCATCTTCGAGTTTAGAGGAATAGACAAAGAATAATATTGTTTCTGGGCCTGTGTAAGGTATGTGTTCTCCTTGGGCAGGGAAGGCTTCTTTGACAACATTCTTTGTCTCTATCAATTGTCCCTGAAAACTATGAGTTATAGGAAGTGTACAGCTATTTGTTTATTTTTCTTTTCAAAACAACATCTTTCAAAATTAAATCTGTCATTAGGTAAATCAGCAAAAACTAATGACTTATTTAGGAGTTATCTATTTGTTTCTCAGTTAATACAAGTTTACTAGAGGTTTTCAGAAATATCAAACTATAATTTTCACTGTAAAGGAGTAAATTAAACCTAAAATATGAGACATTACCCAATATCATTATAGAATTTAATATTTTTATATGACAATGAGACAGCAAATGGTTTTCACATGGATTTAAGACTTTCCCAAAGCTAAATTACATAAAATGTTTGTTTTCCATGGTAGAAACTCTAAAAGTATACATAAGTCTACAAGAATATAAAGATGTATTTTTTTAAGGCCTGAAAAACCGTGAAGAGGGTTATTTTTATTTAGAATTCTTGGAAAGAGGAAGAGAGGTGAAAGATAGAAAAATCAGAATTGAACTTTAGCTAGTTTATTATTCTTATGTACAGAGTTAAGAATTTCAGCAACATAATTTAAACAAATAAAAATAGTTTCATCAATATAGTCTTCTAACAGGAAATTTGTACGATGAATTAAGAATAAAAGGGGAGATTTCAGAGCTCCTCTGAAGTACAGTGCTATTCTCTATTTCTATTGGTTTATCTGTCACGTTAGGCTTTAAAAATTTTAAATGGTAGTTTGAAAAATTAATTTGATAAATTGTCATACTAGACACTGGATCTGTTTTCTTTTCCTGTTGGGCTATGTGTATCCAGTTTAATGTGTTTTTCTTCACCATTCTCTTTGAATATGAAACCTATAGTAAAGTAAAATTTTAAAATACTTTTTCTACTTGAATTGCTGGTGTTTTCAATATTGATGTATATTTTTTAAAATGTACTTTGCATATATAACAGTCAGTTTGCATTCTAAATATATGCATTCAGAAATGTTTGATTCCATTTAAAAAATTCTGAGTGACAGTACTTGGTTTGAATTTGGCTGTGAGAATTGTGTGATCCTGTGTAACGTAACTCCCTTGATTTCTGGATGCTTTCTGTTCTTGTCCATTGAAAGGGTGTCACCTCATGAGGGTGTAAATGAAGATTTGAAGATGCTCAAACATGTTGGTGGGCATCCATAATTTTCATGATAGTTACATAATGTGCCTACCTTAACAGTTTTTAGCTAGATTTTAATTCCCTCCCTCCCTATCTCTCTCTCCCTCTCCCTCCCTCTCTCTCTCTCTCTCTCTCTCCCCCCCCCTCTCGTAGTTAAATCCAATACAAATTAATATGACAAAGTGAGTAAATGATAGAGCATCTTTATTTCTAGAATAGCACACTATTTCCTAATCAATATTTCTCTTTTCTTGGGCATGTTCATCTTCAGACCAGCAGACTAGTAGCCTTAGTGAAAACCTATCAAACGTTTTTAAACTTGAGGAAAGCTATCATAGGAGTGATGTTATTTTTCTTTATTAAGAAGTATTCAGTATTCCTGAAGTAATAATTTGGGCATAAAATAAAAATTTGAGATTATTAAAAGCAATAAGCATCTACTAAGTTGCCAGCATTGTTTGCGAGTTTTTGTTGAATTTTGTTTCCAATTTGTGTTGGAGGTTAGAGGACTGGTGTTCAAGAGAGCATTTAACTTAATTTGCCATTTCATCAGTTGTTATACACTTAAAATATTGTCACTACAAATATAGTTTTAAATTTTCATTAGTTCTTTTGCTCTATTTCTAAAATGCAAATTAAAGATCGGTTAATCTTTTAAGCTGAATCATTTGTATGTTTTTGGAGAATGCTTAGTTCAAGATTGAATATAGGAAGTCAAGTATTTAGAAATTGAATAAATTACCCTCCAAGTTCTTAATAGCCCTAAAATCATTGTGCCTTATTCTAATATATATTTTTTTAAAAAAACTGCTCTGAAACTCAAAGCTTTATCCTTATGACAGAAGTTTTGTAAGGGGTTTAACTTGACTGTCTTCTGTCATTGCTGCCAAGTACTCTTTCGAAATATACTTCACATAAATACTTCCCTTTTTGGCTTTTAGGGGTTTTTCACCTGGGTTCACAGGCTTCCAAAGGGCCCAGAGATAGAATTCAGAGGTTCTTTGAACTTTATTTTCACTAATCTGAGTGAAATATAGCATTTCCTTCAATTACGAATGTAGGCAGCAAACCACAGTAGTATTAGCAATACCTGTGGATTTGTCACCAATCAAAATCACAGATATTTTCATATCACATTACATTACTGGTATCTCAAAGTATTGTTTATACTTTCCACTACTTTGAAATCATGGTAGTTACATTAAAGGCTGTTAGATCTTATTTAATTTTGTTAGTTAAGAAGAGAAAGACAAATACCGTATGCTAACACATATATATGGAATCTAAAAAAAAAAATGGTCATGAAGAACCTAGGGGCAAGATGGGAATAAAGACACAGACCTACTAGGGAATGGACTTGAGGATACGGGGAGGGGGAAGGGTAAGCTGTGACAAAGTGAGAGAGAGGCATGGACATATATACACTACCAAATGTAAAATAGATAGCTAGTGGGAAGCAGGCACATAGCACAGGGAGATCAACTCCTGCTTTGTGACCACCTAGAGGGGTGGGACAGGGGGGGTGGGAGGGAGGGAGACGCAAGAGGGAAGAGATAAGGGGACATATGTATATGTATAACTGATTCACTTTGTTATAAAGCAGAAACTAAGACACCATTGTAAAGCAATTATACTCCAATAAAGATGTTAAAAAAAGAATATTTTAAAAATATTTTGATAACCACTTCAGGATAATTGGTTTCCTTTGTTATGTATTTTAGTCTGTACATTTAAAAACATTCTGAATAGGCTTTACCAGACTGCCAGAGGGTTAAAAAAGGGTTAAAAACTGATTGGGTTGCTGCAATAATTTCTGTGAGGATTTTATATGATTGGTGAATGACTGGTCATTTAAATTGTTTTGTACAGTGGTTTTAAAAAGGGTCCTCAAACCAGCAGCATCAGCAGCATCTGGGAACTTGTTAGAAATGCATTCTTCGGTCCCACCTCATACCTTCTGAATCAGAACCAGGGAAAATGCCCTCCAGCCTGTGTTTTAACAAGTTCTCCAGGTGATTCTAATGCATGCCCAAGTTTGAGACCCAGAGGTTTCGTATTTACAGCATCTTGTTGGTGTAGCCCTTAGATTGTATCAGTAGAATATTACAACAGCTCTCCAGTACCATACCATCAGGGCCAGCAAAGAAATTCTTAAATTTAGATTTTTAAATAATATGAACATGTTTCTCAGATAGTATTTTCTGTGGTGACTGTATGGTTGCATTGGTTTCATATGTTACTTGATAAATTATTTAAGGTGAAGGACACTTTTTCTTTCAAGTAGATTTTAAAAGGATCATGTTCATAATTTTTTTTTTTTTTTTTTTTTTTTTTTTTTCTTGCGTTATGCGGGCCTCTCACTGTTGTGGCCTCTCCCATTTGCGGAGCACAGGCTCCGGACGCGCAGGCTCAGTGGCCATGGCTCACGGGCCCAGCCGCTCCGCGGCATGTGGGATCCTCCCGAAACGGGGCACGAACCCGCGCCTCCCGCATCGGCAGGCGGACCCCCAAGCACTGCGCCACCAGGGAAGCCCCATGTTCATAATTTTTATGTCTCTCAAATTCCCAAAGATAATTTCCTTTCAGCTTATTTTCTAATAATACTAGATATTGTAAATTGTTAAATACTATTTCAAAAGATGTATTTTAAGTGGGAAATAATACACTCTATCTGATACTTCAGGGCTAAGTTTTGTTCTAAACATCCAAGTACAAATAGCCTCACATAAAGCTTGTTACAATTGTAGTTTTCTTTGTGAGTACATCATAAAGTTTCAATAAAAAAGTTACCCTTGTTACATAGATTATAATAAATTATTGTATTATGCTACCTTTCATATTAACTTATAATGGATGTTTTCAAGCACACACAAAATAGAACGCCGAACCCCAAAATACCTGTCACCCAGCCTCAAGGTGCATTCAGCTTTCTGCATTCTTGATTTCATCTATCCCTCTCCTCCATGACTTTTTCTAGACTTCCTTTTTAGATTGACGTAGTCTTTAAATCATATTATGTCCTTGGAAAAACATTAATGTTTAGCTTAAATTTCATAAACTACCTTAGATCTCATTCTAATGAGAGAGTAATAGCTAACATAATTTACTGCAAAAAATGGAAATGTTACAGAGAAAATTTGAAATGTCTTTTGAAGATGTTTCTTAGAAGGAAAACATCAAGTGTAGTTTTTTTTTTTTTTTCCTTATTAATAGTCAAGCTTAATAGTGTTAAGCAAAATTTTACACTCTTTGGGTTAGGAACTGGGATGTCATAATCCTTTTTTGGTGTTCTTTGTGAATTTATATAGAAATGAGAAAATTTGTTTCCTCTTACTTGTATCTTTCCTGAGTAGTTTGGTGGGTTCATTTTTGTACTTCGTGGAACTGGAAATGGCCTATGGTGATAAGTAAAGAAACTAGTTCTAACAGTAAAGAAACTAGTTCTAACAATGTACGGAATTGTGTTGGAAAATGGGAGTCGTTAAAAAAACAGTTATATAATTAAGCAATTGGTTTTGAATTGTTTGATGTACATAATTTTTTTTTTTTTGCGGTACGCGGGCCTCTCACTGTTGTGGCCTCTCCCTTTGCGGAGCACAGGCTCCGGACGCGCAGGCTCAGCAGCCATGGCTCACGGGCCCAGCCGCTCCGCGGCATGTGGGATCTTCCCGGACTGGGCACAAACCCGCGTCCCCTGCATCGGCGGGTGTGCATGTGTGCATGATCTTTTAAAAGCCCTAACAGGTGTGGGAATGAAAATTTAAGTCCTGAGTTGTGAATTTTGCAGGGAATAAAATGAGGGAGGGAAAATCAGCTTCTTAAATTTATCTAAGTGTTAACCCCTTGGTTATTTATTGCCTCCTAGTAGCACTCTGCTGGGAAACTTCCTTTTTGGGGATTCATTAATGTACATTATAGCTTATGCAAGATTCTGAATAGCTCTAGGGTACTGAAGTCTATGGAATTTTGTTTAACCTATTGTATGACCATTCAGTTTTCTTGTGTAGGGAACAG